TTAGCTGTGCTAATAGGAACTACCTGACATTATTACAATGTTCCTTTTCTACTTACATTGATAGTGGATGCACTAATACTAACCAATATGATGCTACTGTTTACTGCTGTAAGAATTTTGACTTTATTTGTGATAATAATAATTATTATTATTTTACTCAAATATCAACAGATACTACTAGAATCTGGAACAGTAGCCCATATTCTGGTATGATACGTCTTCAAGGAGGAGCTTATTCTAATGAAGGACGCGTGGAAGTGTATTGTAATGGACGGTGGGGGACAATATGTGATGATGGATTTAGTTCAACTGATGCCAGAACTGTATGCAAGCAGTTGGGATACTCTTATTATTCAAGATATGATCATTTGTCACTGTAAGGTGTCATATTCTTGCTTAATTGTCATTATTTTATTTTTATTATAGTCCTGGTAGTTCTGGTCAGCCAATATGGTCTACACATTTTTCAAGTAGTTCATCAAGTACCTGCTTCAATTCAAGGAATTCTTGTCCTAGCTCCAGTATTACATCGTGCTCACATTCTGAGGATGTAACCGTTTCTTGTTGTAAGTTCTGATTAGTTTCACTCCATTGACATTTTAATTGTTATAAATAGCATATTCTTCATCATATACCAATACTGCTACACTAGGACACTGTAATACTAGTGACACTACTCCTACAGGAAATGATCGAAGTAAAATAATATTTATACATTGACATTAATTATTAATTATAATAAAATTTATATTTTTAGATATTGGAGGTGTTGTTGGAGGTACGGTTAGCGGTATTACCATACCAACAATAGTTTGCATAACCTGCTGCATTATTTGGTTATTTGCTTCAAACAAAAAGAGATCAACAGCTCGACTTCCTCCTCCTACAAGCAGCAGCCCAGCCATTCAACTGAATACAATTTCAAGACCACAAAGACAGTTCACATCCACACAGCCACAGCAGTCTTCTCAACAGCAACGTAATACTAGCAGTAACAATAATCCTTCAACTTCTTCTCAACGGCCACCACCATTTGCACCAGGATATAATTTTGGTGATCCACAAGTTATGACATTACCTAACCAGCGACCTGCTATTGATTACCAGTATCCTCCTGTGATTGCATTACAACAGATACCTTATCCATCCAGAGGTCCAGAAGAAGGTTTTTGCTCAGGAGAGCCACCACGTTATGATGAGCTGTTTTGAAACAATACGTCATAATTAATGATTGTATACTATTTAAACTTAGTTTTTGTGCAACCTTTTATTTTCAATTAATGATTGTATACTTTTCTAAACTTAGATAGTTTTTGTGCAACCTTTCATTTTCATTTTTTGTGCTGTCAATAATCAAACAAACCTGCCATTGCAATAAATTTAAAGCACTGACTTTAGCTGAACATGAACAACGCAAAATTTGCAGCTGCATGCAACACAGTAGAGCAAAATTGTAAATCCACAATGGACCTAGGCCTCAAGTTTTTCACTGTGGGCAGTTTACCTATAATATAATTAATTAGGCATAGATCTACATTTTAGTTTCACAACATGCCTTGAATAAGTTCCTAGGAGCAAAGAGCAATGGGGTTTAACAAGAATTATCCATATCAGTTGCTAAATGAAAATTTTGTATTACAAACACTAATGCAGTGGTGAATAAATTCAATTAAAAATACATTAAAAATACATTGAATTTTAACACAATGCAGTTGCATTACATAATACGTAAAAGGCCAAAAGAAGCAAATGGATTTAATTTGAAATCAAAGCACATTAGAAGGAAAAATTTAGTTAATCTTTGGCTCAACGGTAATATTGAATGTACGTATCATCATTGGAGAGAGTGATACAATAAAATCAGGACCAGCCACAGGAGGGGGATTAAAAGGACCAGGAACTAGAGAAAAGAATAACATTATAGCATCAACTATTACAAGACACCTGTTTCATCAGTTGATGTCTGCCACTGTAGTTTCTTAATATCAGATAAAGCTACATTTCCTCCTAATGCTAATTCAGTTACATCTTTGATTGTGAATGCAACAAATAAGTCCTACATGAATTAACAGATTACCAATATGTAGCTGGAAAAATTTGTGAGAATCATATTTTGCAATTTTACACTAATACTAATAGAGCAAATTTTAATGCATGTGGAATTTAATCTTGCTGGTGTAGGCGTGAACTGTTGATAGTTGACACACCCATTACCTATAATGCTTTGAGGAATTAAATTGTGCAATTTTATGATGGAACAGCAAACAACAAAATTAAATTCTAGCAATATTTCCAGCTATAGAGTATCTGCTCTAACCTGGGTTTCCCATAAAGCATGCTAGATAGCTAAAAAGCACGCTTTATGAGCTGACAAGCACTACAACAGTACATAGCATTTGGGGGCTTGGTGCAACTATAAAAATTCATAAAAATTTTAATTTTGATCAGAATCAGCTCAAATTTACTACGCAACATAAGGACATGTATAAGCATCAGACAAAATTATAAAATAAAAGAATCCTCTCCTTGTAATTTTTGTCAAAATTTAGCCAAAGACCCTGTATTCTAGTACAGGAACTTTGGCCTAATTTTTGAGTAGCTTTAAAAATCATAAAAAATTCAATTTTGATTGAATTCAGCTCAAACTTCCTACACAACATAAAAACATGTATGAGTATCAAACAAAATTATATAAATGAAGAAGTTAAGCATCATGTCCCAATCCTTTGGGAAGCCCTGGCTCTAACATGCTGTACATGACTACATGTAAGAAACTACAACTTACTCTTAGTTTAACATCAATAGTAGTTGACCATTTCCCAGGATCATTGGACTCAAACTGATGATCTAAACGAAGAAGAATTGTTGACTGATCCAAATATTCAAGAGTTAATAAGTGAACATTATCAGGAAGAGGAGCAGAGAGTCCACTATACTAAAAATAAAAATTTAATATTACAGAGCAAGTAGCAGCAACAATTACCTTGAGATTATAGTCTTCAAGTTTTATTCCATCATTAAAAGTAAAGGACAGTTCTGGTATCATTAACAATTCTTCTGCCATCATTCTCTGAGTGTGTGCTGAGTTATCCACATTATCAAGCAACAGTAGGTGCTTTCCACGAATGATTAAACCATCACCACTCATTCCTGTCTCATTCAATGCTCCAACAGCACCATCTCCTACAACTAAGCGCCTGTGAACCTAAAAATAATGTACAAACAATCATTTAAGCTCAATAATTATTATGAATAAAATACCATTAATTCTATTGAGCCATCAGTGATACTAGCTCCTCCCTGTGATCTGTCATTAAGTATAGTAAACTGAACATTCTTCTCTTCATCCTATAAACACAATGGTTCATTAACAACTATTTAAGCACAAACTAACTGACTCTTATAAAAATTCTACTATTAACTGGATAATAGTTTCCTGCTATTGGCTCTGTATTGTTATAGGTCCATGTCGGACGATAGTTCCTCCTGTAATACAAATGTAACGAGATACATCATGTAAAATAAAATACTATTCACATGCACTTACACTCTTTTCTGCATATCTCTCCCATTAGAATCAGTATAAAATGTGGAGTCAGTTTTAAGGTCAGTTGTAAAATGTGATATTATTTCTTTACCCAAACCATCGCTAATAAATAACAGGGTCATTTTACTCGATGTATTTCAGCAATGATGTACTTTATTGGTATCGGTCCTACAGTGTACTCTAGCTCGATCGCTGGTATGTTCTTGTAGAGTCTAACAACCTAACAGTGTATGTCATATGTGCAGTATTGATACTTTAAAGCTAACTTGAGACACCCATGGTGAGAATACTTGTCTAACCTCAGATAACAATTCGCCCTATAAAATTATTCTAAAAGCCAATTTAGACACTTTACATTGCTTTACTGTAACAGATGTAATTTCAGCATAATTATCACCACTGTCAACAGGAAATGTCGTTGAACTGTTGGGACGAAATACATATGCATTTGAATTCTGTAAAAAGGTGGCATCATGTAACAATTATAAAATCATTCCCTATACCTGTGTATCAATGTTATTCCCAGTGCTAGCATTATACCAGAAGAATTGTTGACTGACACTGCTGGATATACCGGATACAGTATTAGTAATTGATTTAATGTGACCAGACTCTCCATCAAACTCAACCTCATAATACTGTGCACTAATAGTATGACAGCAACATAATATACACATTACTTACCTTATTACTAATAGTTACGTCTTCTTTAACATTATTTATAACTGATGACTGCTGTGTGTATTCTAAACATGAAATAGAAACAATGTCATTCAAAAAATAAACTCACCTAAATAATCTCCATTACTAGTTTTACCAGTGTATATAGCATAGCCAAGAGGAGGTACATCAGTCACTTCAAACACAGCAACATATTCAGCTGATGCATTACCAGTAACAACCAATGACATTGATTTAGTTACATTACTAATAGGAACAACCTACATGTACATAAGAATAATCATCAAAATCTAATAAATCCACTCATTAATATATACCTGTACAGGAACAGCAATGTCATCAGGATCTGTCACTAATATACTCTCCTTCATAATAGGAATATGTACCATACCAGTATATGGACGACCCAATGAATTATACACCACCATACTGAACTGTGTATTATAATAATAAGAAACAGAATATCAATGATATCTTACATCTCCTCCCTCAGTCACTGGACACACACTGATGTTAAGATATTCACAGAAACTCAAGTCCATTTTAGGTACATTACTTCCTTTAGCTGCAAGATCATTGAGGACAGTTGCTATTACAGAACGACACTCAACTTCTCCAACATGAAGCCTCTTGGCATAATCATCAGCAACATGTTGCTTCTCTGTACCACTATTATAATTTAAAAGTACAGGTATAACTTTATTAAATTACATGTATAATAATAATAATAATAATGCTTACGAGACAGCGTCATGATGTTGAGCTACACCCATTGCTCGTTCTATAAAATTATACATTAAAAAGGAATAAGTATGATTACTATACTAACGTAGTTCGATTGAAGATGGCCCTTGATCTCCAAGTCCATTATGAATAGCTTCCAATTGCTTACATGCTTGCAAGTGAGCATTACATAATCTTTCATAACCTTTCAAAGCAGGTCTACTAGTAAAATATCCTAAAAATCAGAGACATATTTTCTATTACAAAATTGTAGTCACATACCTGTCCAAAAACTATGTGGTGCACTAGCATAAGGAAAGAAATCATCACTTTTAGTGGACCAGGTCACATCCTTGTTGCTATTGACATATTTAACATATTTTGATGGAGTCGAGTACATCACATTGATTGAGCCATTCTGTAAGCAGAATAATAGATAATTGTCATTAGTAACTCTTGTATCATTATCATACCATGTTAGCATATTTTATGAGCTTGTCTAAATTCTCAAACCATTCCCGAGCATTTTCATATTGGAAATCATCTCCCATTGTCATCATAATATTGTTTGTTTTGTAAATCTTAGCCTAAAAGGAGAACAGTTAGTACTATAACAGCTAAGAGTTTAGCTCATACTTGATCAAGTGCATAACCGATGAATTCAGTGACCCTTTGTTTGACATTATAATCGTACAAACTATCATCATCCTGAATTATAAAAAAAGCAAAAATATAAAATAAATTGTAATCAAGAAGTTTGTTAAAAATAATTGGCTAAAAACCATGGGTGGTACACCATATAGTGGAAGTTGAAAATTTGGTGGCCCTTAATATTGGTGATTCTATGATTGGCGGTTTTAATTTTGGTGATTTTAATCTGCATAATTCATGCTATTATCTCAACATTACGTTTCATTGAACAATTACTTAACCAATCAATAATCAGATATTGATGACAGGCTAACTGGTTATGCTAAAGGGCCTAGGTTCTAATTACATGTACATTGCTACTGACTTTGTGAAGCTCCCTAAAGGCTGGTTTCCATATAGTTGTGGCTGTTGTATAAATTTATGTGGTTAGCAAACAGTTATAATCCTAGGCTCTATTTCCATGATCATTTCAAGTTTTTTAAAGCTGTTATTGTGCAGTGGTCTACATGTACATGTATACAAAACCAGCATTTAAAAAAAATTACACCAAAAAATTGGCATAAAATTATGGTCATGTCAATATCTGCCCACTATCAACATATAAACATGTTAAGCTAACCATTATAGGAGGATCAGAACATTTAATATCAAAACAGAAATCATGAGGTGGAGAATAATGTTGATACAACTCTTCAGTAAAAATGTCAGCAATGCTTCCAAGTGAGGGACTACTCTTCCAAATTGTCTGCAAATTATTTGAACTAAGACGCTTTGCTTTATCATCATAGTCAATCCGAGCAAACATCATACTGTCAAAACCTAACTAAAAAGAAATAATTACATGTACATGTACATTGAAGTATTATGTACATACATGTACATCGATCGTTCACAAAATCATTTAAATCCATTATAATGACATTTAGAAATACCCATTACATTTTGTGATAAATTCAATACTAGTACTGCCCCATAAACATAATTGATATTCATAAATTTATAATTTGTATCACCTAGAGTCACTACTTATATGGCCTAAAATCTAAATGTAAAAGTAGTAGCCATTATAATAGTGTCACACAAAGAACAATACAAACAAAAAATAACAAACTATAGTAATAGTACAATTATTCATATGTACACATATATACTTACCAATGAGAATGCAGTAGCTTGAAATGAAGAGTGGCCAAAAGGATCAATCTGCCAACCAACCAATGGACGTACACCAAAGGTGTTAGAAATGAACCTCAGTCCTATAGACATCTGATCAATGATCCCATTGTAATGAGTAGAGGCTTCATCGTTCATACACCATCCACCATTAATGAACTCTAACTGACCATTACTCACTAATTCATGAACCTGTAGAGGACCAGATGAAAATATAATCATAAATTTATTTTCGAGATCAAACCTTTTGTTTTGTATCATCAGTTTGCTCACTCCACCAACGAACAAAAAATGCTATTTCCACATAAATAAATGTCCTGTCCTTATTCTTACTCAGCTCATCAACAACACTGTCTAGTATATACCTTACTGCAGCATGCTGGATGCTGTTGTTAGCTATATATATTTTATAATTATTTTTATTCATTATTAATAAATGTACACAACCCATGTTGTATTTTTACCTCCATAATAATATTCATCAACTGTTTTCAGCCACCCAACATCATCATGAGTATGAGGTACTAAATGAACGTTAACTACGTCACCAGTCACAAGAACACCTGATAGAGAACCAAAGAAAATCAGGAGTGAACAGAGCAGCAACATCATAGCTTCATAGCACATCACGTGAAATGCACCAAACACGCCCCCAATAAATTACGTGGGCGTAGCACAATCTGCTAAAATAATTATTATTCTAATGATTGTAGTACAAAACAATTTTAGGACAATGGTTGTATTAGCAAATTACTGTTCTCCTGTTACAAAATGGGTTTATTTTTTGTCAATGGTTGATGCTATTGTTTGAAGAGTACTTGTCACAGGAGCATCTGATCGAGTAAATATTTTTTCTCCTTCAGGATCAAGATATAAACGAACCATCTACAAATACCAGACATAAGTAATGATTATTGTATTTTTGGCATATTTTAAAAATACAATCACACTTTTATTACTGCTTACCTTTGGAATGAATATTAGTCCAAGAAACAATGTTGCCTCAGTAAGTAATCCTAATCCAAACAATGCAGCATAAGCATTATGATGTGTGGCAAGAGTAAATTCAGATGCTGCCAATAGTACTAATACAATACTATTGATGTAAATGATTGCAGCTATTTCTTTTGATTCATTAAGGATTTTGACTTTGACTCGGCGGGTATGGAATGCCATGAAAATTGCTGAGACTTGAAGTAGTCCCTTGTAACCAAATGAAAGTGCGAGCCAAATAACTGTTGCAGACTGGTTACATATGAGAATATAGTGATCCTGTAGCTTACCCTCATCCTATGCATGTGGATAAAAAATAAAATGTGTCAGTGTAAAAATACATTTATATTTTGTGGATGC